CAGTTTTGACCTACCAGGATATGGGGAATTTTTCAGACTTATCCAATGTGGATGGAAAAGGTTAAAGGAGTGGGGATCGTTCATGCAGGAAGAGAGAAAGCTTATGAACCCATGATGGATTCCTTCAGATACCTGAAGTTCTCCCCAATGGGAAGGGAATGACCCTCTTGATTCAGTTCACATGTGCAGAGGATCCAAGGAAGATTTTTTTTTAAAGAATGATTTATTTAATTAATTCCATTCATTATCATTATTTTTTAATTTGATGAGAGAGAGAGAGAGAGAGAGAGAAAGCAAGCCGCCAGGTCCGGGACTTGAACTGTGGTTGGCCATGTGGGAAGCCAGTGCCTCTAGCCACCATTCCATCTGCTGGTCCCACAAAGAGGAAGATTTTAACTCAACTCTAAAAACAACTTTTGTTCAGCATTGAGTTTCCTTCACAATATAGTGACCCTCTTGTCACTTGGTGTGAAGGGCTAGGCTGGGAAACTAAACCGAGATGCTGATAAACCAGGAAAGGAACTCTCGGGGTGGGTGGGAAGTTGTACTACCCTGAAGATCCTTTCTAATTCTGTGATTTTTTTTTTTTTTTTGCCATTCAAGATTAATGACATTTGTAGTTACTTTTATATATCTTTTATAAGATTAGTTTTTCCTCTTGGAAGTTACTTAATGCCTATTCAAATTTTCATATTTCAGCCATATTTTTCCATAAACATTTTGAGAATGTTAGCATGACTTAGTATTTAGAGGTGTCAGTAAATTTACATAGCAACTGTGTGTAAGGCCCTTTGACATTCATAAGCTGTTGAATTGCTTTATTTCTGTTCCCAGCAAAATTAGGGCTGTTTCTTTCTTCTGTCTCTGAGCCAGGATTTATTTCATTATGAAATTTTACAAAACATGTATACATTCCCAATGCACATCTTTTTGGCTCTTTGTGAATTTTATTAAAGATATAAATCAGGAAATAGTGGGAAAAAAGGAAAGAAACAACACACTTCAAGAATAAGTGGGTTAGTAAATTCTTCTATCAGTCCTGTAGAGGCTCTGCTGCGGGGAGAATTGCACCTGATTCTCGTATCCACCGGCTCTGACTCCTCATCTCAGACACCCTCTTGTGCTCACCTCACCTTCTTTACTGCCAAGGTATATTTGTCCTTGAAATTGAAGGTGTTACTGCTCCAGTATGGTTTTTCCCATCTAAATCCCTATAAGCACATTCAAAATGTTATATATTTGTGATGTTTACACTTCTTCAGGTTGTGTGCTGTGCAGAGGAAGCTGGATCTCATATAAATGAGTTTTCAAATCCCAGCCCCAGTTGCATGCAAAATACCCTGGGTTGAGGGCACATGCCCAGTATTCTTTTTTTTTTTTTTTTTTGGAGAAGTTTTTGTTATAGGGCGCATGCGCTCGCCAGACAGACAGAGAGAGACAGGGAGACAGAAAGCGAGAAATAACCCCCCAGGGGGCAGGGCCACGCTGCAATCCCTTGTCCTCCATTCTCCTCTCGGGATCTTGGGCACGCACGCACACGTGCCTGGCGTGAGTTTAAGCCACCGGGTCCGGGATGCAAACCGCGGTCGACTACATGGGAGTCCAGTGACATAGCCATTACGCTAACTGCTGGTCCCCATGCCCAGTATTCTAACAGGATGGGGAATGGAGGAAAGGGGATTGCAAAGTGACCAGACACTGGAGGGTGATCTCTCTCACACACACATGCATGTACCTATGGCATCAAGAAAATTAAAAACTATTTTTAAGAAGGAAGAAAGATTTTAATAAAGCCATGCAGGCCTGTTTGAATTTAGCAGCTTTTAAGAAGGTAGTATAATTGGTGAAAGTATTATATGTGCAGGAAGAGCAGTGCTGGGGCACCAGTAGTCAGCACAGTAAGATAGTAAGCTATCATTGTTCAACCTGGTAGTCAGAGTTGTGATGCTGCTTTTGTCCATAACTAGCTACATATGTCTAGGAAAGATTTACTGTAACATGTGGGCTCCTGGGCCAGAAAGGAAAGTCATCCTGGCGCTTATTTTAGAGGCCCAGTTTCACCCACTGGGAAACATTTGTTAGAAGTTGCCACAATCATTGATTATAGCAGCGAGGTCATGTGAACTTAAAAAAGAGAAGTACTTAAGCTTACATGCAATGAGAAAATGTAACATGCAATCAAAATCTTTATTGCCCTTAAAATTCATGATATATCCCTTTTGTCTTTATTCTTACACGTATAGTTTCTTTCTCTTGCTGGCAATAAGGATTCGCAGAGAACAGGTTATCTCACCCTGCCCTTTTTTTTTTTTTGTCTTTTTACCTTTTCCTCAGCTGTCTGTGAACATACTTACACGTGCGTGCACACACACACACACACAATTATGCATGCACACCTGATATCAGGCAATCAGTAGTATCTTAGATGAGGCTGAGCCTCATGTATGGTTTCTAGCATTTCACCATCTGCTGGGGCTTCACCCTTTGCCCTCTACCTCAAGAGAAGGATGTAATTATTAATCAGCTTGTATGGGAAGTGAGAAATAAACTGTGTAGCCTGGCATTGCCCACTAGAATTTTCTACATTTCTGCCTATGTTCTGTACTTGGGCACTTTCCAGTACAGTGACCACTGGTTGCGTGAGGCCACTGTGCACTTGAATGTGGCTACTATGATTGAAGAAGTGAAGTTTTAATTTTGTTTAATTTTCATATATATTAAAATAGCCATGTGCAATAAATGGCTACTGTATTGGACAGCACAGTAAAAAATTGTCAAAGAATTCATAGCATCAGTAAAGTTGCTGAATAAATGCATCTATCAGTGGGATTCATCATTTTAAATACTTCTTTTCTGTATTGAGCCAAATGGTACTTAGACATAAGGCAACATCATTAATTTTTTTTTTTTTCCCTATAGGGCATGTGTGCTACCCAAAGACAAAGACAGAGGGAGAAAGAGAGGGAAAGTGAGACAGTACTCCAATCCCTTCCACTCCATTCTCCTCTCTGAATTTTTTTGGGCATGCATATGTACGCACATGCACCCGGCATGTTTTTCAAGCTACCAGGTCCAGGACTTGAACTACTCAGCTGGCCATATGGGATTCAGCTGCCTTAACCACCATGCCATCTACTGGCCTACAACATAATTTTTGAAAGATGTTTAGATGATCATCAAGAAAAATGAGAGGCCCAGCCATGCAGGTGCAGGCAGTAGAGGTACCTCTGTGTGATGCTAGAGACTGTGTGAGAAGGCTCCAGCTTCACATCCCATGTTTACCTCAACATCCTGATTATGCCATGGGCACACCCGTGATCCTGGCTGGCTTTAGTACTGGAAGAGGCCTCAAGAGGTGAAGACCCTGACAATGATGCTTCTCTCTCTCTTTCTCTCTTTCATGAAAGAAATAAGTAAATGAACTTTAAAATAGATGAGAAATTATCAACATCTACCTAAAGTATTTATAATTCATCATAGAGATTATTCTCTATATTGATTTACATATCCACTTTACAGATATACCATCTTTTATTTTCACAAGCATTCCAACTTAGTAAATCTATTTTTCCCATTTTATGTAAGAGAGAAAACTGTGGTGCACCAATTAGAAAAAAGAAGCCCAAAGTCACAAAGCCAGTAAGTAGTGAAGCTAAGTTATCAACCTAGGAAGGGCTCATCACTGACACATCTCAGTGACTATTTCCCACTGGGGGGGTCCTCGGCCACTTGTGTCTGTTTTTCTAGCCATCTCTGGCAAATAGGGCAGGAGTCAAAAACATGAGTCCTGGCACCAAACTGCCTGATTTGAATCCCATGTCTACTTCTTAGCACTTGTATGAGGTTGAGCACATTATTTAATATGGGTCTCAATGGGACTAGCAGATGGTGCAATGGTTAAGTCACTGGACTCACATGTGGCTGACCATAGTTTGAGTCCTGGACCTGCTGGCTTGAAAATTACACCAGGCATGTGTGCATGCATGCCCAAAATCCCTAGAGGAGACTGGAGGAGAAGGGATTACAGCGTGGCCATCCCCTGGGGGGTGATTTCTCGCTTTCTGTCTCTCTTTGGCTCTCTAGGGAGTGCATACACCCTATAGCAAAAATCTCTCTTAAAAAAAAAAAAAAAGACGACGAAGAAGAAGAAGAAGAAGAAAGGCCTCAACTCTCTTTTTTAGACACTATGTTGTAATCCTCCTGCCTCAGCTTCCCAAGTAGCTGGATTACAGATGTGCCCAACTGTGCCCAGCTCTTCAGGGTGGGCCAGGAGGTGAATCCAGGCCTCCATGGTGGCTTAGCCCACTGAGGAGCAGCATACACCAGTGTGTTCAGCTGAGCTGGGCCTCAGTCTTCCCAGCACAGGTGCCCAGCTCACTGAGTAGCTATGAGGCTTAACTACTTAATAGGCCAAAACTGCTTGGCATGTTGTTTGAACCATGTGTATTTGCCATCATTATTATTTTAAATTTGAAAGAGACTGCCATTTATGTTAGGACAGTGATTTGATATGTTAATATCAATAGATGAAAGAGACATATGCTTTGCCTGTGCTCCCTTAGGAAATAAGAAAGACAATAATAATTCAGCTAGTTTAGGAAGAAGCATCCTGCTGTCTAGTCACTTTGGTGTCTCCATTGCTAGGATTACAAAGTTTCAGAGCCCACACACCCCTGCTAATTCTTCCTGTCTTTGCTTTTCATGACACCCTTATAGACATCTCCTTTGCTGTCTTTGATTGGTTCTGAATGCTGAGCCGTGACAAGCACCAACACAGCTGGAAAGAGCTGTAAGATGTGCTGTTCTGTCTTCCAGCAGGGAATGATTGCCATGGATACCAGCATCAGAGGAGGACTGGGGAGCACTGTCTGCTTGCCTCCTGTGTGTCTGACATCTGTTTCTGGCAAGGCCAATAATGAATGTGCTGCTAGCTTCATATCAAATGAGAGCTTGATTCACACCTCTTTTCTTTCCTTTTCTTTCTCTTTTTTCCCCTACAGATGGCTTCTGCCCAAGATGCCCGGTATGGCCAGAAAGACTCCTCTGATCAGAACTTTGACTACATGTTCAAACTGCTTATCATCGGCAATAGCAGTGTGGGGAAAACATCTTTTCTATTCCGTTATGCGGATGACTCCTTTACATCTGCATTCGTCAGCACAGTTGGCATTGATTTCAAAGTAAAAACAGTATTCAAAAATGAAAAGAGAATCAAACTTCAGATTTGGGTAAGTGACTTTGAACTGACACTGGAGTTTTGAACATAGAAGTGCATAAGGGAAAACTTTTCTCCCTTGTTCTGTCCCCATGGAGTCCATAAGCCTTGATTTTCAGTGTCTTTTCTGCCGAACTTTCTGTTTCAAAGACAGCAGGCAAAGGTATGGAAAGTGAAGTCAAGCAATGCTCCTTAAGCATCTTCAAGAGGTATGGGCCGGCAGGTGACGTGGTGATTAAGGGCACTGGACTCCCACTATGGCTGACCATGGTTCAAGTCCTGGACCTGGTGGCTTACTTTCTCACTTTCCATCTCTCTCTCTTTCTCTCACTCTATCCCTCTTGAGTCAAATTAAAATAAATATATAAATAAATAAAGTTTAAAATAAAATAATTCTTAAAAAAAAAGAGTCTTCAGGAGTGAGGGGCTGGTAGGTGGTGTGGTGGTTAAGGTGCTGGACTCCCACATGGCTGACACAGCTGACCACAGTTCAAATCCCAGAACTGGTGACTTGCTTTCTCACTTCCTTTCTCTCTTTCTTTTCTCTCTGTGTCTTTCTCTGATGATCGTGTGTGTGTTGAAATTTAAAAAAATAATAATGATAATAATGATAAAAAAAAATTGATTAATTAGAGTCTTTGGGAGAGAACAATCCAAACCTCTATCATTCCAGTGGTAGAAGGAACAATGTGAGAAGTGCGGCTCTTTGTATAATCTGTGAGACCTTGAGTAAGTCTGGGAATCCTTCTCTATCACTTTTGTAACCTGTTGGGTTGTTGTTAAAGTCATGATTCATTTTTGTATTGAAAAACTCAGGAAATATATGTTATGATGTTTCTGAAGACCCAATATAAAATAGGCAAAGTAGATCTTGCCTTTTAGAAATGGGAAGCAGCCTACCCTGGGCATTTTGAAGGATAAGGTTGGCAACAAAATAAAAGGAAACCTTAGGTATAGTCCCTTCATAAAGCCCTAGGTATAACTTTGAACATAGTATATTTATACTATAGAGACTTTGTATTTTCATCTCTAACAGATGCATTGATCCATATGCTTAAATAAAACAAAATATTTATTAGAAATAACATCTTCCCTAAATAAAAGGTTCCCCCCAATTTGGGAACCTTTTGGCTAGCTTTCTGTCTCCCCTTACTCCTTGAAGAACAAGATCAGAGGTTCTTTAATTTTTTTATAAGTTTACTTCTATGAATGAGAGACACAGAGACAGAAAGGCGGCACCCACAACAGGATCTTAATGTGGGAGTGCACCTCTAGCCTCAGCCAGTCGCAGTTCACGGCACCTGTGCACCTCACATACTCAGGGAGGTCTTTGGACATGAACCTGGAACCTTCCCATGTGGGTCAGCCTCTCAGTGTTGCATTTTGCTACTGTGCCACCATCCTGTTCCTCCTTAACTATTGTTGGGGTACATTTTAGAGACTAATGAACAAAAAACAGAGGAAAATTTTACATGAGTGACAGATGCAAGGTGATATAAGAAGTAACAAGGGCCAATAGGTGGCATGGTGGTTAAGGCACTGGATCCCTACATGGTCAATTGTGATTCGAATCCTGAATCTGGAGGCTTGAAAATCATACTGGATGCATATGTGTACATACCCAAAATCCCAAGAGGAAAATGGAAGAGAAGGGACTGTGGCATGGCTATCCCCTCCTAGGGGAGATTCCTCACATTCCCTCTCTCTGTGTCTTTCTGTCTCTCTCTCTCTACAGCAAGTGCATGTTCCCTATGGCAAAAACCTTAAAAAAAGAGAAAGAACCAACCAATAGATTGGTTACATCAAAAGAGAAGTACATAGTCAATATTTTATGATTATCATATTATGCACATTGATGGAACATTTCTTTTCTTTTTTTTTTTTTTGAGAGGTGTTCGCTATAGGGCGCGTGCGCTCGCCAGACAGAGAGAGAGAGAGACAGAGAGACAGAAAGCGAGAAATCACCCCCCAGGGGGGATGGTCATGCCGCAATCCCTTCTCCTCTCCATTCTCCTATTGGGATCTTGGGCATGCACGCACACGCGCCTGGTGTGAGTTTTAAGCCACCGGGTCCGGGACGCGAACCGCTGTCAACTACGTGGGAGTCCAGCGACATAGCCATTACGCTAACGGCTGGTTCCCAGATGGAATATTTCTATAGTCAGTTTTAGTCTCCTTTTCTTGTTTTTTTTTTTTTTGAGAGGTTTTCGCTATAGGGCGCGTGCGCTCCCCCGACAGGGAGAGAGAGAGAAG